GAAGGAAGCGTCTGCGGCGGGGCTACAGCCCGGATAGTTCTGGCGGTGACTGTGCTAAACGCTGTATTGCAGCAAAGCAAAGAAGTGTTTATAAATGATCCGGATGCAGGAATGGAACGTACGTTGGCAAACTAGGAGCTGTGGCCTCCCTCGAGGGTAGAGGGGCCTTACAGGGAGGTCAGGGCAGGCGAGAGAGCTGGGCAGTCACCGGCCGTATGAAACTTAACAAGAGCAAGTGGGGGATGCTGGGCCTTACAGGGAGATCAGGGCAGGCGAGAGAGCTGGGCAGTCACCGGCCGTATGAAACTTAACAAGAGCAAGTGGGGGATGCTCCGCCTGGGACGGGGCAATCCTGGTTACACGTGCAAACCGGGGAGGAGAGGCTGGGGAGCAGCCCCGCGGAAAGAGATCTGGGGGTTTGGGTGGATGGCAAGTTGAATATGCGCCAACAGTGCGCCCTGGCAGCCCAAAGGGCCGACCGTGTCCTGGGGTGCATCCAGCACAGCATGGCTAGCCGGTCGAGGGAGGCGATCATCCCACTCGACGCTGCACCGGTGCGGCCCCACCTCGAGCGCTGTGTGCAGTTTTGGGCGCCTCAATGTAAGAAGGACATCAAACTATTAGAGTGTGTCCAGAGGAGGGTGACCAAGATGGTAGAAGGCCTCGAGGGCAAGACTTAGGAGGAGCGGCTGAGGTCACTTGGCTTGTACAGCTTGGAGAAGAGAAGGCTGAGGGGTGACCTCATCACTGAGGGGTGACCTCATTGCAGTCTGCAGCTTCCTCAAGGGGGGGCAGCAAAGGGGGAGGCGCTCATCTCCTCTCTCTGGTGACCAGGTCCTGGTCCACGAGGAAATGGAATGAAGCTGTGCCAGGGGAAGTTCAGGTTGGACATTAGGAAAAGGTCCACCCCTAAGAGGGTGGTCGGTCACTGGAACAGGCTCCCCAGGGAAGTGGTCACGGCCCCAAGCCTGTCAGAGCTCAAGGAGCATCTGGACGATGCTCTTAGTCATAAGGTTTAGTTTTAGGTAGTCCTGCGAGGAGCAGGGAGGTGGACTTGATCCTTATGGGTCCCTTCCAACTTGAGATATTCTATGATTCTATGAAAAGGGAGATGAGGGGAATGAGTTAAAGCCCCTTTCCCCAGAGACCAGCTCCCACAGACACAGCACAGACACCGGGCAGACTGCAACAGGCCATGCTCGTGAATATTTCAAAATATTCCTCCTCTCAGAAGGACTCAGCTTGGCTGGAGCTGTTTGCTTGGCTAACACCAACCTTCAGGAACGGCGTCCAGTCCAGAATCAGGAACTTCAGAGGAAAAACCTCCAGTTACTGCAGGGGTTTGCGTCTGTCACTGTCCTTCCTGATAAAACATTTGAGTTCACTGTGAATTTGTCTGCTGTGAGGATCCACGGATCCCTGCCATGCCAGGGAGAGAAGAACTACAACGTTTAGGCCAGGGGGAAGAAAAAAAAAAAAAAGCCAAATCCCTTTCTACATGGTAACACATTTCAGATGTGACCTCTAAGGGATTTCCAGGGCTAGCCATCCAGAAAAGCAGATAATAGCCTTTTCTCACCCCTTCAATGAAATAAGAATCCCGTTTCTGTCCTTAACAGGTCATGGGACTCTGCACTTAAACCTGCTAGTAACATAGGAGTTAGGATTCCTGGTCGTGCAGTGTGAAACAGCAGCTGTTGAATGATGCAGAAACCCCACAGGAAAAGAGAAGAGGGGACAGAACGAAGATGAGGTGGCAGAACACGCCGGGCTTGCGAAAGGTCCCAGAGTACAAGCGCACAGCGGTACCGAAATACCCCTGAAAAGGGAAGGGCTAAGAATATTCTGAACTTCCTCAGCTGCAGCCTGCTGCAGTTCAGGAAAATGACATCATTGCACCACCACGAACACAGGCTCTGTAGGAGTTTAATCTCCCCTGCGTATCCTTCCCACTGAGAACTACTTATGGACATGAGTAATCCCTCCCAGCTCCGCAGGACTCGTGCCGATGGCAAACTCTTCTCTCAGGAGCAAGCCTCGGTAGGCTCTGGCTCAGTTCTTACTGAGGCAAGACACAATCTGGGTCACGGAGCTGCATCCCAATTATTCAAATTATAAATGGAAATGAGCAGCAGAGCTTGGGTCTGAATGTTCTTTACCCAGGCATAAGGATGGCTCTCTGCACCTTACGAGGAAATAGCCTCTATTTTATCAAGCCTGTAATCACGCCACAGATTGTTAAGAACAATTTGTAAGTTAAGAACAGGGATGAAGCAGGCTAGTGTCCAAAAACTGCATGTTTATCCATTTTGCTTTATTAAGCATAACTGTTGCAATCATGTATACTTTCTGAAGTCACTCAGAAACCTACTGATATCCCAAATCCTTGCCAAAGACCGCTCCAGCCGAGTCAACCTCATGCACTAAGCATTAGACTCCATTGCTCCTCCCCTGTTCAGCCCCGTAAGGAGAACCAGACCTCACCCACAGGTTTTCTCGCCAGAATCAGCTGGATCCTCAAGTCTCCTGCCCGGCCCTGTAGGGGTTATGCCTTGGGAGAAAGGCTATGGCGGGGCAGTGCAGCTGAGCAGCGCACCACGTAGCAGGGCCCTGTCGGAGGGGATGCTCTCGACTTGCACGCAACCCCGTAGTCCTCGGTCTCACTGCAGGGGAGATAAAACCGAGTTGGTAAGGGGGAACAAGCGCAGTCAGAGCAAAGGTCCTGAACACTCAAGAAAACAAGGGGAATGCTGGTATTTGAGGAACCTGCTGGGGAATGACCATCCCAAAGGAAATGAAACCATTAATCGTAGGCTTACAGAAGCAATCAAGCAAGGGAAGAACCCTAAGATGTAGAAGAACGCGAAATACCAGACACAATGGGAGCAGAGGTATCTACCTATAGCGTTTAATCCGTTTTTCCAAGTTCAGACCTGACAGACAGAACACAACGCAGTACATTTTGAAGAACCTGTTTCTGTGTCGCGGCATGCCATTCTCATCCTCAGGCTGCCGCAGAAAAGCTCCTCTGCATGGGTAATCGCAACTTGTTTGACCTGGAAACCCAGAAAGTGTTTGGACTGGAGACTCTCACATCAGCGCAGGGAGGCACTGGTCAGGCCCCATCGTGCTTTGAGGACTAAGAAATGATCTCTACAAGACCAACCTCATCCCAGGACTATAAAACAACCATTAACAAGCACTCGCAACCATGCTGTCTGTGTAACAGCCACGCAGCTCATCTGAAGTAGGAAAAAGGCAATTTAAAAATACACCCGCCAGCACCTCTGGAGAGAAATCATCCATGGTAATACTGTCAGGTCACCGTTACCAACCAGCAAAGTCTCGCCTACAACAGGCTAACACTTTAAGCAGCATCCCTGTTTTTTTGGGTTTGTTTTTTTTTTTTTAGACAGGCTAACACTTTAAGCAGCATCCCTGGTTTTTTGGGTTTGTTTTTTTTTTTAATTTGAAAACCATTAAGATAAGAAGGAGTATGTCCTACCATGTGCCAACTAACACCATATGTTAAGGTAAAGCATGTATGAAACGGAATGACAAAATCGTGCAGAAGCTTACTTCACACAGGGCAGCATGCTATGGCATTTAAGTTTCACCACAAGAACGTTTCTTTAAATATATGCTTAACTTCAAGAAACGTGCTTCAGGAACCACAGCAGGTAGCTAGCAGACAGCATGGGAAATCAGTCACAAAAAGCATGTTTGTGGCAATAAAAGACTCCACCACCTCCAATAACTTTATGAATACTATCTCCCCAAATCTGAGATAAACAATTACTCCTCAGAGTAGGATTTAAACCTCAGTAATCAACAGATACCAGCAGGGTCACCATTTAGTCAGCGAGCTGAATTCAGCACGTTGCCTGCAAGTTTAGTGGTATTTGAGGCCGGGGGAAACCCCTCTCCCAAGACACGATGCTGCCGAGATGCACTGGCACTGCCTGGAGTGCCAACCGGGAGCCACAGCTCTGCGTGCAAAGTTAATTCACAGCAGTATTATGGAAGGATGGTGAGAATCGTGACAAACCAAAACCAGCAGCACTAGCAGCAGAATGGAAACATATGTTTGTTTTCCCACAGGAGTGCTCCTTCTCCTTCAATACGTAAAGTTACAGCATTGCTGTAAGAGCCTATTAATTTGCCAACAGTTCCTAAATACAGTGTTAATATCCAAATGTACTTTTTTTTTTCCTTAAGCAACGCACTTTGTATTGTATTTTCATTTAATCCATATTGCTGTGGGACAACGAAGTTTAATATTTCTGATGGTGGGAAGGAGGGCAAAGAAGTGACTTTTGAGGTTGACATTTCAATAAGAGACTCAAGATTTCCCCACACTCATTTATCATTCTTACATGGTCGAATTCTTTCTCGGAGGAGAGATACTGGGAGAGTTGTTAGCTCAGCACTATGTGAGAATTACAGGCAGAAGAGTTCTCTGCCAAAACTCTCAAAAAACAGGACTGTGTCCAGGGGAAATACTGCTCCAGCACCTTTGCTAAACAGCCCCAAACCATTTCCTCACATGTGATTCAAGGGTGGAATATTTTAATACAGAATTTGGCAGAAAAGCTTCCATACATGTTTCCCACAGTAGACTGTCCTTCATTCTTCTAAGCATATTTAAAATCAAAATATCTAAAAACAAATTCTCTCAACAATGTCATTTACTATACAGATAAATAACAAACAACTCAGTAGGCTACAACTCACGATGGTATAGAATTTCTTCGGAAGAGGATGAAATAGCACAGTAGCTGCCAGAGTTAAGTTTTTAAACTATAACTGATTTTAAATAGTGTTAGTACCTACCACCATACTCCCCCAAAACATCCACATTGTTCATATTTGACAGTTACACACCAATTACTTAATACGAAAAAAAAAGCGCCAATGCATATATATCTACTTGAAATAGATGAGGAGAATCCTTCTGTAGCATTTAGGTGCTTATTTCTCAGTAGAAAAAGCCCTCTTCATCAACGGTGGGGGTGCTTTTCCAACATCAAACATCATTTCCAGTGGAGGATTATTAAGACAGCACCAGTCAGGTATGCGGCCTGTCTGGCTGTAATATTCTTTGGACACAGAGCGGCTCCCAAGTATGTCCTGAAGTGCTCCAAAAATGGCTCCTACATTATTGGGGGGGGAAACAAAAAAAAAAATGTTGCATTAATTTGATGCAATGAATTTCTTTTTCTACTTCTTCCCATTAAGAATCTCCACTATTCTGTTTCAGCTCTGTCCCAAAAGTTAAAGGAATGAAAGGATCTAGCCGCTTTCCTTTTCAGCAGCCCAGCTAATCCCAAATTGCTTCCATTTATGTCCCTTGAAAGTAACTGAAAGCAAAGAATCATCTAGTCTCTGCTGACAGCAAAACTGGCCTAGCTGACCTGCTTCTTACGACAAAGTTTCCTAGAAGTTTTGATTTTAAGCACTTTAAGCAAACCACCTTGCATTTAAGGAAATTTCCTCTCCCCAAAAAGGGTGTCACAATGAATTTCTTTTTCTACTTCTTCCCATTAAGAATCTCCACTATTCTGTTTCAGCTCTGTCCCAAAAGTTAAAGGAATGAAAGGATCTAGCCGCTTTCCTTTTCAGCAGCCCAGCTAATCCCAAATTGCTTCCATTTATGTCCCTTGAAAGTAACTGAAAGCAAAGAATCATCTAGTCTCTGCTGACAGCAAAACTGGCCTAGCTGACCTGCTTCTTACGACAAAGTTTCCTAGAAGTTTTGATTTTAAGCACTTTAAGCAAACCACCTTGCGTTTAAGGAAATTTCCTCTCCCCAAAAAGGGTGTCACACAATACCCATAAGAAGTTTACGCAAGCTGCGAGAAGATTCAGACCACAGCAGCTGACCAGCACTGCCAGTGAAGAAAGGTATCAGAGAACTTGGTGCATATAAATCAGTCGTTTGCTAATCCTAAAAGTAGACTCAAAAGGTTTGAAAACTAGAATTTGATAAACATTTACATTTCAAAGCACATGGAAATAAAAACCTACCTTTACAGTTAAAGTTAGTTCCTCATACATACCAGATGGGCTCAGCTTATATACCGAAAGCTTACAAAAGCATGAATTCTTATCAACCTGAGCACCTTCCTGAAAAGAGCTGCTAGCAATGGAAAGCCCTTCTTTTTCCCTCACTTGCCGGTACAGCATCCAAAATCCATCGCAGAGTTGCTTTATTTGTTATTGGCAGTTGGGAACAGCACGGGGAGTTAGCAGCCTCCAGCCTCTCCACAGCTCACAGCTCCTCAGTCAGTAATTAAACTTGTTTTTTCAATAAGCAGATCTTCCTACACGCAGCAGGCCTCTGCTCTGCCTACTCGCTTTACTGGTGCCACCATATGGCAGTAGCCCTGTACTGCACTTGAGTCCACACCTCATCTTCCACACCGCTGTTTCAAATTGCACATCACCTGTTTAAAGCTCCATCACCTGCAGTGCCACTCTGCCCTCCAGATGTCCCTGAGGGAGCTTTACTCCACAAGATTTCTTCCAGGAGGGCATAACAATTCCACAGAGCTCCAATGCAGCTTAATTTCAATAGTTCGCCTAATTTTTACCGCTATTTATTCATTACAAATCCCACTTGGAAGGTTTGTTTTTCCACTTTGTGCCTTTGCTTAACAGTTGTTTTCAGTCTTACCTCCCAGCCAGGCCACACAGTTGGGTTTGGCAGGTGGAGTGTGAATTCTGAAGGTTTTAGTGGCAAGTGCTTCTTTGTATTTCGGTTTCTCTACCAGGTATCTGATTTCGGCCATGAGCCTGTGAAGGAATCCCGGCAACATAGCGGTGCCACCAATAACTACCAAGTTCTCTGCCAACTGCTTCCTGGTGTCTATGGGACACTAATGCAACAGGAATAAAAAAAACCACTTTAGTTAAAGTGACATGTACAAGCATTCAAAGGTCTTTCTACACACTTCAATTGCCGTTTTCTCATAATTAGCCAAAACATAACCTACATCATTTTTTATCCAGACTTCCCAAGAAAACCAGGCTTAAGGAACTGCCCAGTTGAGGCTTAATGAGCACACTGTGTCCCTGTAAAGCCCTTCAGCTGAGACAGGCCAAGACAACAGAGGACAGAGGTATCAGTGACAGTAATTCCCATGAGTTCTGGGAGAAGATGTGCCAGAGAGAGGTGAAGCCTCAACCAGTGCTCTCGGAGAGGGAAAACTGTTACACGAGACTGATGCTTTTTAGCTCCATGTGGGAGAAAGGTGCTACCAAAGTCTCAGCGGCAGAAAAGGTTTCTGCTGGAGCTCGCCTCAGGCATCAGATAATCCAACCAGAAGACACACAGGCATGAGAAGACCAAGCTTTGTCAGCTCCGCCCCTCACAAACAGATCTGCGCTATCCCTTTGAGAAAAATTCCAGACTGCTGTGGTCCTCTTGTCCAGCGGAAGTAACTGGACGCTCTTTAACACTTGTAAATTTAACATTTGTCTTTCCTTTGGCCAGAGAGTGATGCAAGGTAAATGCCTAGAGGTACAGAGGTGAGGGGTCCAGGCACAGATCTTGTTAAACAATTTGTTTTCATAAGGAATTCTAATTGAAATGTTTGTCTTGTCATCCAAGCCTATGGCTCTCCAATAAATTACGTCTCAGCAAACTAATTTAAAAGGCATCAATAACTACAGGAAGTCAACTTTAATTAACATACATATACCACCATATAATGAAAATTTCCATTTATAGTGGTTTTCTAATCATTTTTTTCCTAAATATAATAAGAAATGAAGCGTTTGTATATGCCAAGAAAATTTTCCATAATATATTTAATATACTGCCTGTAATAGAGATGGCCAGATTAATTTTATTCTATCTTAGGTCAGCCAGCAGTCTGCAGGAGTCAAAGTCTAACTCTTAGCAAAACACCTTGAAAAAAGAAGAAACAGAATACCTGTGTCATTTCAGTGTAAGCAGTGTAATTCCTATAACACCAAGTATTAGCTACTCCTTCGTCATTACATATGTAGAGCCTCACTCCCAAATAAACGCAAGCTAGTTTATCACTTTTGCTGAGGGGCGAGCACTGCCTTTCTTCAAAAACTGTCCTAGACACGTTGCAGTACACCAAAGAGTAAGAAAACAATCACAGAGTGGATGACACACGGTGACTTACTACCCCACAGAAATGCATCACGTGGCAGAACCCTAGGAGTCATGCTGTGCTAAACTTTTTCAACCAATCGCAACCTGCAGTCAGAAGGGTGTTACTCTAGAAAGACTCATTTATTACAGCAGGTTTCCTGAAGCTGGAGGCATCCAATAAATGGTTTATAATATAAAAGATACCTGAACGAGCGAATCTAAGATCAAAGTGGCAACAGAAGTCTCTTCATTATCCTGTTCAAACAGTATTTCGACAACGGAGTCTCTGTTGAAAAGACAGGAAATGAGTGTTAATGAGAAGCAATACCACACTATGAGCTAACACTCACGAACAGCAGGGCTGGAAATAACTGCAGACTTCCTGCTGACACATCATCACTACTTCTTCTGTCACACATCCACGCACCAGGCGGTGCCAACGGGGAGGAGACAATGCCTCGTTCGCTTCACTAAACCTGTCTCATCATCATGCATTAATACTCCATTTCTGTTTCCCCCATCCCTCCAATCTGTTTGCTTTCATCTTCAACTGCGAGCTCTCTGGAGAGGCCGACACCTCTTATTATGGGCTTGCACTGTGCCCAGCACAAAGCCTTAATTTAAGAGACATTAAAAGCATATGCAAGTGTTTCATTAAAACTCAATTTTATGAAAATTTATGTGCGTTTAGAGTTGAAAATATATCCTCCTAAAGATAAATACTCTGCTGTGGTATTTCTCACCTGATGGGGCCAACAACATGGAGAATCTTTTCTCCATCTAAAGGATAGTCCACGTCTGGAGGCGGTGAAGGACGCTAGAAATAAAAACGTACGTGCGTTATTTTAGAGGCCAAAAAGGCTACATCCACTTCAAAAGACTAGGATAAGCTTCATTCTCCACCCACCTCAGCACTGCCATCAATGTTGAACTTGGCTGCTTGGATTTTCAGTCCACGTTGGAGATCACTCACAAAACAAGTGCGGACTCCATGAAAGAAAAGAAAGGGGCAGAAAAGAGACTTTGTTGGATCCTTTCATCACCAATCAAGACAGTAATTTTGCCTACTTTAAAGAAGAACACACACTTCAGGCCCTTGCTGGTCCAAGACATTATCAAATAAATGCAAAGAAAAACTGTCTCTACACTTCAGCAGAGTTCAGATGCTATCTAGACCATGAGTTTAAATGAAGCCGACACCAAAACTATGCTAGGACAGGCAAGATTTCTTTCTCAGACAAGCTACATAAGATTTAAAGACAGAGGGACGTTACTAACTGTGCCTTCGGTTACCACAAGGTGCCAGGGGTTGTAGTCTGCTGTCAAACACACCATTGAGGGTCTTGCACCATAGCTTCAAATAGGACATTGTTCATTTTCTAAACAAGCTGTAATCATGCAATATTTTTCCTAGTACAACTCTTCAGCACCCTAAGAATTCCAAAGGTTGGTTTTTTTCTCCAGGCAACACTGACAGAGCAGTTTTTTTTTCTCCAGGCAACACTGACAGAGCACAATTTCATTTGTATCCCAGCTGTTAGTGATATTATATACTTATTTATTTATATCTGGCAGAAATGAGTATCTTCTTCATAAATGTCTGTTACAAAGAAATAACCCTTCAATACACAGGCAATCAGTTTCAACCCTAGCATATTACACCTGGTTCCAAAAGACTGAATAAAAACCAGAACTGGTCATAAAATTGCGTTCAAGTCCAGGAATTAGAAAAACAACTTCCATTTGACAAAGCACCAGCTCCATTTAAGTTATTTTGCATTTGGCTGATGGATTTCTTCCTAATTTGGCCCAAGAGATATATACTAGTTTCTATTTTCTATGATTATATATAGTTTCTATTATTATATATATTTTTATATCTGTTGCACATGAAACATTACATAGGAATTCATCCAAGTTCTGCCCAAAGATAGACTCTCTTTTTTCTGGTGTAAATGTAGTCCTTGACTCATCTTGCCTACCTGATTAACATGCCAAAATGTCTTTTACGCATACTTTATTTTTTGTGCAAAATTGACTTTAAGGCAACTTGAGCCTTCCTGGTCAATTTATAAACAAAATTAACTTAAAGTATTCTTATGCCATGATGTTAAGACTGCTTAAATGCTGCATTTGCAACCAAAACATATCTATGATAACAGGTTTTGAACATTAGATCTGCTAACTCTAAGTCCCACGTAGAGTACACACTGTACACGTTCATACGCAGCAAACAAAATGTCAGTAGTTAACAAATGCAACACGAAGTTAACCTGACCTGCTGATGACAGGATATATACAATAGTGTAATACTCTTTCTGCGCCAGTCTACCAAATCTATCTACGAGCTACGTCTTAACAACACATAGGCTAAAGCTGAAAGAGGAATTCAACATGGTTTTGGTTTTGCTTTCAAAGAGGAAGAACACTGCAATTTCTTCCAGTAGGTGAGAAATATGATAAACAGAGAAGATAAAATAAATTCCTAAATGTAAAGTATTGCACACTTGTTATTATCATACTCTACTGCGCAACTTAATAAACGAGAGTTTCACGAAGCAGAAAATTTTACCTTTTATATCCTCTACTATATCTTCTGGAACCGAGCCTGAAATAAAAAAAAAAACCAACTTAGAACAAAAGCTTTTGAAGTAGAAAAGAGAATTTAAGAATGAAACTAAGTTTGAATTACATTTAGTACATTAAAGTTTCACTTTGACAGCAGCTTTTAAAGATTTCTAAGGAAGAAAGAATATTAAGAACAGAAATAAAAAGCTTGTCTTCTCTCAAAACATACTGAAAAATTACTACAGAAGTTTTATCTCAGCCTTCATTCAAGCCTGCTGTTATGAGTGGCTTATCACAAAAATAATACACTTGTTAAATATGGAGAAAGAAATCATGAAAGTAGATCACGTAAGATGCGGTGAATACTAAGCTCATTTTATTCTCTGTCAGTATTAATCCACTTTCCCCAGTGCAAATTCACAGCACATATGCCACAGCAAACAGACCTTACCCATCACAGATGGAAGGCTTTGTCCTTTGGCTAATCCTGTATCAACTGTGCACTGCTCCAACAACTGATACTCCAGCTCCCTAAAATATCACACATTAAGTTAGTTAAAGATAGCTATTAACTCAGGCTGATTCTCTATATTACGCTTAAGGGACAGTATTTATTCCCTTCAGGTACGTTCTTCTAAATATAAACTGAAGCAGATCTGATTTCCACAGCTTTTACTACATCAAGAAAAGCCAGTGGTAACGTTAAAAACCAGACGCTGTCGCAGCAACAGTTATGATTTAGGTCATGTTCAATAGGAACCTTTGGTCATTAGTCAAAGGTGAACTTTCACAAATAAATCACCGCTAACTTGGAATGTATAACTGTGCACTTACTTGTGGATAGCCTTTCCTCCCAAAGGAAGAGAACCCCAGCAGCTGAGAATCGGAATTCCCTCATATATCTACATGAAGATCAGGAAATTGACCTTTTTTGTTACGAGTTTTCAGTCTGTTGGAATTAAATGCTTTTTCCCCTCAACGTTCTCTTGCATTAGCTATTTGAAAAACTTTCCAACTGCTTTTCTCCAAAACTAATTTCTAGTATACAGAGGCTGGAGTTATGAACCACTCTTCCCAAGTTTCGAGGGAACACAGATTTAGCATGTCAGCTGTGAAGAGATTCCCCAAGTCATAGTATCTTATAGTCAAAAGCTGGACTGGCTGATCTGTTCCCATTACTTCTTAGCACACCTGAAGTCTATAAAAATATCACCTTGTCACGATAGCCTTATTGCTGAAAATTTTGTTTGTGTATATTAAAGGATACGGGCAGCACCAAGCTTTCTGCATATCCACAGTCTAGCACCATGGCAGAATTGATCCCAAGTGTCAGCAGAGACATTAGATGACTTGGAGCAAACAAAACGGAAGGTACCTGCATGGAAACCAGAAGGACAATTGACAGGGGGGGGGGGGGGGGGGGGGGGGGAAAAAAACAACA